CAATAAAGCTAATAGAATCCTTGGCTTCATATCAAGAAGCATAATAATAGGAGTCCTCAGGTTGTTCTTCAACTCTATACATCCTTGGTTAGGCCTCATTTTAGATTATGCTGCACAGTTTTGGTCACCGTTTTTACAGAATGGATATAAATTCTCTGGAAAATGTACAAAGGAGGATGACAAAAATGATCCCATGTATCAGAAACCTTCCCCATGAGGATAGACTAAGGGGCCCTGAAACTGCACTCTCTAGAAAGGGCGTAGAATTAGGGGGGATGATTGAGGTTTATAAGTGGAAGACAGGAATAAATAAAGGGGATGTAAATAGTGTGCTGAAAATATCTAGCCCAGACAGGATCGCAGCAATGGTTTTTAAGTTGGAAAATTCAGATTCAGGAGGGGGGTATAGGAAAGTACTGGTTTGGTAATAGAGTGTGGAATGAGTGGAACAAACTCCCAAGTACCGTTTTAGAGGCCGAACGTTGTGTAGTTTAAAAATAGGTTGGATAAATACATGAGTAGATGTGGGTGGGTGTGAGTTAGACCTGATAGCTTGTGCTAACAGGTCGGTTGCCGTGTTCCTCCCTTAAGTCAATGTGACCTGACCTGACTAGGTTGGGTGCATTGGCTTAGGCCGGTAGGGACTTGGACCTGCCTCGCATGGGCCAGTAGGCCTTCTGCAGTGTTCCTACGTTCTTATGTTCTTATGTTCTTATGTGCAACAGTTGGTGTCTTTATTGATGAAACGTTTCGCCTACACAGTAGGCTTCATCAGTCAAATACAAAGGGAGTAGTAGAAATGAAATAAAGATGATGAAACCAGTCCATCAGCCTTGGAGGAAAAGTATTTGAGGTGGTCAGTCTGGAGAAGAGTTCAACTTGATGGTCTGGAACGATATCATTCCGAACTCTTCTCCAGGCTGAGGGACTGACCACCTCAAATACTTTTCTCCAAGGTTGATGGACTGATTACATCCTCTTTATTTCATTTCTACTGCTCCTTTTGTATTTGACTGAAGAAGCCTGCTGTGCAGGCGAAACGTTTCATGAATAAAGATGCCCAACTGTTTTAAATTTGTCTTAATCTTCCAAAACAGCTTATACGGGGAATGGCACGTTTGAGGTAATTTACCTCACATGCAGGTAAATGGCATGTGATGCCGAGGACATATGGGGAAAAAAGGCTTACGTACAGAACAATGCATATATTAAATAAAACGTATCGCCACGAGTGGCTTTTTCCTTAGAGCTAAAGAAGCTACTCGTGGCGAAACGTCTTCTTCAGTAAATGTCCTGAAGTACGCCCACTGGCCCATGTTAGGCAGGTCTAACTCACACACCCCCACACCCCCCCCCCACACCCCCACACCCCACACACCCCCTCATGTCCCTGTCGAGTCTCTTCTTAAAACTAACTAACGCTCTCACTTCAGTGGTAACTTGGATGTTTGTTCCACTCATCTACAATTCTGTTGCTAAACCGGTAGTCTCCCATATCCACTCCCATATAAGCCAGTAGACTCCCATATAAATCAGTAGTCTCCCATATAAACCAGCAGTCTTCTATATCCGCTCCCATATAAACATGTATGGTCACGTCCCAGGTGTTGAGTAAACAAGGTCTCAGGACTGAGAAGATTAGATAACAAAATGGGACTTTTGTCCTGCCTTGCACTTCAAATGAGGGACTTTCGTCGTATCTTGCACTTCAAATGAGGACTTTTGTCGTACCTTGCACTTCAAATGAGGGACTTTTGTTAGGTCGCTATTACCTGACAGGCTTTCGTTCCGACGCTGTCTAGCGAACACCTACCCACATTCCCACTGATATACTCCTCAACTCTTTATTTTTTAAAGCCACCCAGCGTGCTAGCTAAGATGACACGCCCTTAGAATCTTCCTCAACTCTGCTGCCAAACATGCGCTTTCGTACTTTATCGAATTTGATCTCTCTTAAAACCACCGCTGAGAGTCAGTCTTGGTTAGACACTTTAGACTCCTTATGTATATTGTATTTAGTTGGCTCGTCCATTGCAGTCCATTGTGTATGAATCCATAATTACCAGACTAATTAAGTGTTGTTCGTGAAGGAGTAACCTCACTGTTCATGTCTCTTAATGGCGGGTCACTAGTAAAATAATAATAACCTTTATTGCCCAAAATATTATTAATTATTATTATATAGTCATTATTATTGTCGTTATTATTATTATTATTAATATTTTTATTATTTTTACACTGATGTGAACGCTCTAAATCCGTTGGGGTCACACAACGCTTGAGAACTGGGAGGTAATCAGGTTTGATCAAAGGAACGGTTAAGACAGCTCCAGTTCCTTGGTTCAGGATCCCTTCACTAGCCTCGAAGCACCCTACACCCCCCACCACCCTTCACCCCCCACCACCCTTCACCTCCCACCACCCTTCACCTCCCACCACCCTTCACCCCCACCACCCTTCACCCCCACCACCCTTCACCTCCACACCTCACCCCCACCACCCTTCACCCCCACACCTCACCCTCCCACACCCTCACCTCCCACCACCCTTCACCTCCCACCACCCTTCACCTCCCACCACCCTTCACCTCCACCACCCTTCACCCCCCACCACCCTTCACCCCCCACCACCCTTCACCTCCCACCCCTTCACCTCCCACCACCCTTCACCCCCCACCCTTCACCTCCCCCCACCTTCACCTCCCACCACCCTTCACCTCCCACCACCCTTCTCCCACCACCCTTCACCTCCCACCACCCTTCCCTCCTTGAAAGGAACAAGTGACGATACACCTTGGTGTTGATTCCCGTGTACTGATACACAGTTGATGGATCAGGGTCGGATCCCATGACCCGCGTGGGTCATATAAGCACTTAAGTATATTTTTTTTTCATAGCGCAGTAGCTGACTCATTAGGGCCACGGGAGAAATAAATCCGGTACGAGAAGAGAAGAGACATTACCGTGAACCGCATGAATGGGTTGCTTGCCATGGGAAAGACAAGATGGTAGAGGACTCGGAAGTCCATTCCGAGGCTGATGAGAAGGACTGCCTACCTCTCTCTAGATTAAGGACTTCCTTGGAAAATAGAGAGAGATTATTAATATTGTAATCCTAATTTTTAAAGGGGTGGATGAGTAAGTCAGTGGAAGGCCTCGGTCAGATGACCAAAATCTCCAGTGGTGGGTCATCAAATGACTAAGACCCGTGTTGGGAAACACTTGTCCAGTTTCCGGGCGAATCTTGCCTAACTTAACCTAGGTGTTGGAGGCAAGGATAACACAGATGACGTCTCTGTACTACAAGTTGCTGTCACTTGGGTAATCATGGGAGACGGGGAGGTAACAGCGTTAATACCAGTAACACGAAACAAACACAAGTGCACTTACATGGCAATCTAATTTACGACGTTTGGCCACTGCAGGATTTGGGGGGGGTTATCACGTCACAAAGGGGGGGGGGATACTCCTCATGCAGGTTCATCTGCATTTATTAAAACAAACAAAAAAATCAGAAAAAATATATAAGAAAAACTCAGTTTTTCCCCGAGGGGGTGAAAAAGTTTGAGGGAAACTATAAATAAAAGTCTTCAGTACCTTTGTTTATGAAATGAAGGCGACGAACACGACAGTGTCGCCTCTTTGACGACCTGTTTTTTTTTTTTTTTTTTAACCTGCCTTCTGGGTTGGTAAGCCAGCAGAAAGACTCGGTTATCAGACCAAAAGCTCCGGTTGCTGGTCATAGACCCGCCTCGGGAGATATCTGCATATTTCTACCGACATACCGTCCAGTTATAAGGAATTTCTTACAAGAGTGTAACGTCTAGTTACATTTGTTACAAGAATGTAACTTCTAGAATTAGATGTTTCCCTCGTTGCTTTTAATTGTTTGGATAATTGGGTTTTAAAAACCACGCCACTCGTGGTCATTAAGGCGCGGTTTATTTTCTTCACTCCCAATCAAGAATATTTTAGTCCCTTTAATATAAGGGTTTAAAACTTGACCAAAATTTTTAAAAAGGGGGGGGCCGGTAAGAAAGGGAAGGCCTCGTCAGTTCCCAAACTCCAAAAGGGTCACCCCTAAGACCCCCCCGGGGAAAAATTTTTTTTAAAAACCCCCAACCAACCTTTTTATAAAAAGGGGAAACCCCTTTTTATTATTTTAATAACTAAACCCCAAAAAGGGTCCCTTTTTTGGGGGGGCACTAAAATAAATGAGAAAAACCCCCAAAAATTGAATTTTAAAAGTTTTAAAAGTTTTTTCGAAAGAAAAAAGAAATGGAAACCTGTATCTTTATAAAACGTTTTTGCCCTCCCTTTTCCCAAAACTTTTTAAACAACTAAACTGAAATTTTCAAAAAATATAATTTCCCCTGCCTTTCTTAGGGGTGGACCGAACCCTCCCAAAACGAGGGGGAAACCTCAAATTTTTTTAAGTTTATGCTTATTATTTTATTTTATTTGAACCCTGGAGGCGAAAGCTAAAGTAAAGAAACCCCATTTAAATTTCAATTTTGGTTTTCAAAAATTTTTTTTAAAATTTTTTTTACAGTAAATTTTTTATAAATAGGGGAAGATAAAATAGGGCATCAACCCGGGAATGGGGCTTCGGTAAGGGGAAAATAACTAACCTTGGTTAAAACCCTTTCCCCCCTAAGGGATTCCCTATCGGAGTTTTTTGAAAGAAACCCCTAGGGAACAAAATGGCCCTTTTCCCTTTTTTTTTCTTCTTCCTTTTCCTTAGGGGGGGGTGTAACCCTTGGGGAAAAAGCCAAAAAGGGGGAAATTTTTCAATTTCGCATAGATTTTCCTGGTTTTTTCCCCCCCTTTTTTGGGAAAAAAAAACAAAAGGGGAAGAAACCTTGAAAAATTAGTTTTATTAGAAAAAAATTTAAAACTTTTAAATTTAAATTAAAATTTTTAAAAATTTTTTTTTAAAAATTTAAAAATATATTATATATATATATATATATATATATATATATATATATATATATTACTCAATATATATTTATATGTAATAACGTGTACCCCGGCCAGTTACCATAAGCTTATTAATATTACCGACGGCTGCTGCCCACCATGATCATGTTGGTTCAGAGTGGGGAGGTCAGCCAACAGTAGGATATAATTAATGCATAATATTTTGGGCGCTGATACAGATGCAGAATGATATGTAATGATGCCGCTGTAGTAGTGAAGCCCCAGCTGGGCTCTCCCCATTCCCTCACCCCGTGAAGTTCAGCTAGGAGGCTCCTCCTCACCCCGTGAGGTTCAGCTAGGAGGCTCCTTCTCACCCTGTCCTCCTCACAACACACAATGATAAGAATGTTTAACCTTCCGTGCTATATTGACTTTTGACGGAACTTCTGTACACTAATCACATGTGCATGGCAACGACTGCAACACTGATGGCAAGTAATGTGTTGGCACGAAGGTGCTCCATGGTGGAAGGTAGTAGGAGCATGGTGTACGGTAGTCGGTCCGTGGTGGAAAATAGTCGGTCAGTGGTAGATGATTCACTGAGAAATTCAGTGAGAAATTCAGTGGTTCGATTGGCAATGCAAGGGGGGGGGAACTTAAGATCACAAGTGCCTAAAAGAAATGCCAGAACATATCTACCACTACAGCACAGACTAGCAAGAGAGACGGAAAAGACTACCTAAAAGGAACCAGAAACCACTTTTCAATGTATGTAGCAGCTAAAGCAAAACATAATCAAAACCGCTTCACAGCCATATCAGTATCAAGATGACAGTATAAGTTCAGGTCTATTAACAGACTGATAGGAAGATATGCAGTGCAATACACTTCATGAAGAATTCACGAGTGAACAAAATCAGTGCCAGAAGTGGAAAACCAGGATGAATCACTAAGAATAAAAATGACTAGTAAGAAAGGGAGGTCACTGATGAAACCCAATACAGTAAAGGCAACAGGACCAGATAAATTATTGTCATGGATACTAAGAAAATGACATGAAGCACTGTGAAAGCTGCTCGTCCAAATCTTCAACAAACCAATAAAGACAGGAGAACTGCAAGTTTCCCAGATGACAAACCTAATGCAGATAATAACAAGGGAGTCAGGCAAGGAGTTTTAAATTACAGAACAGTGTCCTCTTAAAAGCTTTCGATGTAATGTAATGGTAAGTATAAGAAAATCACTCGAGGAACACCTAGATGGCATAAAATACCTCACATAGCATCAACATGATTTTAGAAATGGAAAGTCATGCCACGAAGAAAAGACGTGTGTTGTGTAAAAAGCTTCAGTTAGGACGTTTCACTGTGTAAGATTTTATCTAGTCCCAGTTTAAGCATCGTCTGTGTCTTTACATCATCCTAGACAAAATGACATGTTTCCAAATCGTACCATGCAAACCTTACAAACATATGATAAACTAATGGAAATCAGAAAGAGGTGGAATGGGTTCTCTGTAAACTAGCCTTTGATACAATGCTACACAGATTACTAAGCAAACTGGAGAAGAAAGTCAGAGGTGGCAGTAAAGGCACTAAATGGAATAAAGCAAACTTGAATGACCAGAGACAAAGTGTAACATTAAGGGATGAAGTGTCAGACGGTGATCGTAATTAACAAACATCCCCAAGAATCGATGCAAGGCATCATACTATTTTGTAGTGCATTGTTCGTGAGTCGTTGATGTGGGTAAACTCATATATATCTCTGTTGACAGATGCCAAACTGCAAAGAGGGTAAAGAACCCGAAGAGTAGCCGCCTCTACGTGGTGAGTTATGGTATTCTGAGTGACTAGTTATATAAAATAGCTATCTGGATAAAATATACTTACATGGGATCAATCTTACTGCACAGGCTTTGTCATCCATAAGGGTTTAGTGCACAAAGGGAATATATTTATGTAAAGAAGATGAAAACAAAGGCTGGAACAATAAGATAAAAATACATAACAATGGTATTATACTGTAAAAAAAAAGTGGACATACCTCAGAAGTGTCCAAATAAATAACTGCAAGACTTTAACCTAAACGAGAACCAAATAAAACTGTAAAGAATTGAAATCAAACAGTATCACATGGAAGGGAAACGACTCACAGGATCCGTAAAGAAAAATTACCTAAAAGTAACCATTACACCAAATCTATGTTTTGATGTGAATATAACTAAATAACACCAAAAGTACATATTTGGCTGCCAAACATTATTATGGCTTTTGGAAATCTTGACAAGGACACATTTTAGGGACTTTTCCAGATACCTGTGACCAATCCTCGAGTACGCAGTATTAGTGTGGAGCCATCACCTAGTTAAGCAGAAAGGAAAACTGAAGACAAGTCAAAAAGTATAAAGCATCAGGATAAGTGCCTGAGCTGAGGGGACTAATTCAGAAAAGATACAAAAGCTTGATCTCCCTTTCTCGGGGCAACAAATAACGAGAGTAAACAATTATGATATACTAAATATTCCAAGGCATAAACAAAGTACAAAAGTTGTTTAGCAGAGGAGGAACTGTAATAAGAGACACGAACAGCATACCTAAAGGAGTCACAGAGATACCAGCAAACAGAAGAGTAATATATACAAATATACAGCAGAAGCCGAATGCATGCACAGATTTAAAATGTAAGTAGGACAAGGCTAATTCAAGTTAACTGGTCGAAAGTTAAGAAGCTGACCCAGGAGCTAGAGCCTCTTCACTCTCAAATAGGAAAACACACATACACAAGCTAAAATACGATGCCCCTTGAGCCTCGCTAGTGTGAAAATATTTTCTCGTGGAACACTAAAACACAGAAATAAAAGTGAAGTGAGGCGAGGCCAGGGTAAGTACCAGACCAGCACAACACTCTCAAAGTCTCAGGACCACGCATGGGACCGGGCCACAGGGGCAATGATATCCTGAGCGATGAAAGGTAATCAATAGGTTCCCCTCATTTTTTCACACCACGTGCACCATGACTCACTGCTCCCCCATCTTCACACCATGAGGACCATAACACCATCCTCTCACTTTCACACCGTGAGGATTCACCGTCCCCTCATCTTCGTGGAGTGAGGGCGTGGTGACTGTTGCTGGGAAGGGGCTGGGTCCGACGCGGGCGTGGAATTAGGTGGGCGTGGCGGGCGTGGGCTGGGTGTCCTGGCTGACCTGCAAGACACAATGACCTGGTGAAGGAAGGAAGAAATGACCTGGTGAAGACAGGAATGACCTGGTAAAGGACGGACGGAATGTCAACACTTCAAGAGCGCTGGAACCAGGACAATCAGCGCTCTGCTTGACTACAAAACATACACACACACACGCACACACACACACACACACACACCACACAACACACACACACACACACACACACACCTACACCACACTACACAACAGGGATGGGTTAGGAAAGTATTTCTTCAGCCACAGAGGTAGTCAGTAAGTGAGACATTAATTTGGATGCGATGTAGTGGACGGCAGGATCCATGAACATAGTTTAAGCAAGAGGTACGATTGAAGCTCACAGAGTCAGGAGAGTGACCTAGTAGGAGATTCAGTCATGAAGTAGGCGGGGCCAGAGACGTCTGGGACTCGACCCCGCAACACTAAGACTAGGTGAGTACAAGCTAGGTGAGTACACACACACATACAACAAACATCACAGACACACTACCACTGACACACACACAATACACACACGACACACTACACACACACACACACACACACACACACACACACACACACACACACTCAAAGACACTCCTGTTCCAAAGAGGGTGCCTGACTGAGGCCAAAACATAAAAACTTTCTACACCGTGTTCGATTCTCCGTCCAGGTGGCATTCACCTTTTAATTCTACACCACAAACACGCAACCTAAAAACCTTTCCAAGGATTCATATCATGTACATAACTATATAGTCATACTAGGTTAAATATCTTGCAATATAAAAAATCTAATTGCACAACTCTACAAGAGGACCTGAAGGTTTCTCACGATCCCAACATGTTCTTCAAATTATGAAAGTCATATCGTAACAAAAGGTTTCCCGAGGGCCCAGCAGATAGCCCGGGAAGTATGAAAACTATATCATCTAAAAGTTCCCTGAGGATCCAGTAGATACCAACAAGGAGTGTGAGAACTATATCATAATGTAAGTTTCAATCTAAGTTTCTGAAAGACCAATGCTATGGGCAAATGGTTAAAATACTCCATAGCCAGAAGCACAAAGTAAGGTATACAGAGGGGCAGGAGCACCCAGTGACCATAGTTTAGGTTTGTGTACTCCATCCTCAATCTTAAGAAGCTTATCTCGCAATGACAGTTTTTGTGAAAAAGGGAATGCCATTACACACCTCCTGCTGAAATCATGTATAGGTTCTTACCTTTCCGAAGGGGCCACTAGGCATGCTGACCCAAAGACAAACCAATATATGTGGTCCAAGAGGCAACTTTTCCTTCACCTCAATGATTCCTCTTTCATTGCTAGGAACCCTGTACCTGGCCCAGGCAGAAACGTAACTCCAGAGTCTTAACTAAACATGGAGAAAAGTTATTCCTGAACCAATGAATGCACTGGAGCATGCTGTGCCATGGCATACAGAACACTCAAATCAAAACAGACGATGAACCATAACCCATTATGGCAGCAATCTGAACAAGAAAAGCAAGGATGACATGGAGCACAACAGTAAATACCAAGACTCGTTGGTATTGGACAGAATAAGAATCCTCATCATTGATCACTGTAGGGTCCCACCCTTCTCTTGCTCTCTTCAAATCATCCATAAAAAAGCTATAATCGAAGCATGAATCAAATAGATGCTGAGAGAAGTTGGCCAAGTTCACTACCAGAGTCAGTACTTAGGGATTCCTCATTAACACCAACAAAGGTTCACTTCTGGTATCATCGAAGTAGGATAGGGAGAAGCCTTATTTGCCTGGCAGAAAGGTTTTCTCCTCTTCAGGGGCAAGATATTAACAAAAATAGCTTTTCTAAGCATTATTCGAACATGCAGACCCAGCTGCTTTCGGATGAGATCCTGAAACAGTTCACCAGAGTTAACATAGATCATTGCCAAGCGATGGACGGAAATGCAGCAGGAAAGAGCAGACCGGGTAGACCTGGCATTCATACTCATGCGGGCCACACAAAGCTAAACAGCAGAGACCTCCATGAATTTGCACTCTGTAGTGTGACATCCAATACACAAAGCTCCTTTGAATTTCGATTGGAGGCCATGTCAGCCTGAAGAAGAATGACTTATTAATATCAATAAGTTATCGTTCGTAACCTGGTGTTATTAATTTGAAATCTTTGATGATCGTCGATGCTGAAAAAAAAAACCTGCAACGAAAAATATTAAATACCTAACCAAATTTAAACTCAATCATGTCCTAAACCAATAATGTAGGCAAAAAATTATGCAGATACAATGTGATATGAACATGTGAAGACACAGAATGATAGGTGTTAATGATAAGTGTTAATGATAAGTGTTAATGATAAGTGTTAATGTTCTTCAGTAAACAGAACATAGCAATGGTTTTCAAAAAAAACTCGTTAAACTACTTATTTCAAGTATTTTGAAGAATATGTATTGAAATTTTAGCTAAGCATTCTGCTTAACTAATACACCAGCCACATGAAAACCAAGTTTGATTCTTCAAAACACCATTTGTCTTTCCATGTGTGATGTGGTAGCGCTTGTTAGCATGTTTGGCACACACGAGGAGCGAAAAAAGATGAAATATAGAATTAATATTAATACCTTATTATTATTTGTATTTATTTGGAAGCGCTAAACCCATGTATACAGTACCTGGGGAACGAACAAGGTAATCAGATTTGATCCAAGGAAGAGGTGAGTAGCTTCATTTCCTTGAATCAAGAGCCCTTCGCCAGCATTACAGCACCCCCCTCATGGGATAAAGAGAAAATCATGATGGTACGTGTGTCTACCCTCAGAAAAGGATCCTTGATGCCAGTGAGGTGCTCTTGATCCAAGGAATTCAACCTGCCCACCTTATGGAACAAATTTCATTGCTTCTCATTCCTTCTACGGGTTTAGTGCCTCCCCATGAATAGTAAAATATACAAGTACCTGTGTCTGTGGTTGGTCCGTCGTCTGACTGTGGGTGAGAGTGGCTGGCCCAGTACACCCTGGAAGGAGACAGGCGACACCGAGCGTCTCGGGGGCGTGGGTGGCTGAGCAGCGTGGGCGTGATGGTGGGGTGGAGAGGCAGATCTACGCACAGGTGGGACATGATGGGCGTACTGCAGCTGTGGAGGCGATAGGGAACGTCTGACAGCCGATGGTGACTGGACACGGGCATAGCTTTGAGCCGGGGGAGACACCGAGCGTCTGAGGGACATTGGGGGTTGGATGTGAGAACGGTGACGGCTGGTAGGAGGCGTGGGTTGACGTGGGGGCGTTGGCGGCCTCGGGGGAGGTGCCGTAGGCATGACACGAGTTAAACTTAAAGGCGCTGATATCACCCGTGACCTCCACGTGTGAAGCTGCAAGCTGCTCTCTGGAGGGCACTGAGATGTAGAATTAACAGGAGGGTTGGAGGGCGATGTGTTGGACGGAGACGCGAAGTCCAATGTTGACTGCGAAGTGGAAGTGGAAGACGATGGAGGCCAGGACGAGAGGGAGGACGTAGCACCGACTTCAGAGTTAAGAGAGTCACATTCCCATGTAGCAGCCGTGGCACCCTCACCCTCCTGGGACCATGATGACGATGTTGCTCCCACCTCGATAGTCGAATTCACGGTCTCGTGAGACAAAGTTGTTGAGGAGGTTAATTCATCAGATGCCGTGCTGGGGTATTCCCGCTGCCAGCTTACTTGGCAAGCTTCTAGGGTGGACTTTGTTGAATCAGGCGGCCCCGTTGAGCTAACATCGGATGCCTCCAAACTGCCCCAAAATGCTCCTGAGTGCCATGACGAGGGTGTCCCAGTTGTGCCAGTGGCAGCACTCGATGAAGACGAGAGCCATGTGGAGCGAGACACCAAACTCTCACTCATGGGTCTGAGGCACTCTTGTGGCCAACCTGAGGAAGAAGGAACTACTAAATTTGGGCAGGAACTTCGGGGCTGCCAATTAAAGCGAAAGTGAGAAGACCCAGTGGCTGCCTCAGAAGAGTCAGGAGCCCGTGGAGAGGTGGAGCCGTTAGCCCCAGCAGCGAAGGAGTGAGGTGCATCGCTAAGGGAATTCTCATCCAGACCTAAATTAGAGCTGGAAACTTCTGGCGAGAACTGAATCGAGGAGGATGGGGGATCGAGAGTGATGAGGGACTCGACCCTGTGTCTGGATGACCCGGGATCTTCAAGCGTGGATGCTCCTGAAGTAACTTCGCAGCCATCGCTGTTGCACCCTCCTGAAGACTCCCCTACGATGGGTGAGTTGCTGCAGGAGGTAGATGACGAAGGCTCAGAGGATGAGGAGGAGGGTACAGGCGATGGTGAAGCTAAAGATGTGGTAGGAGTGTGCAAGATGTGAGGAGCATCATCTGAGGACGAGGGTGTGGGCGAGGCTGGAGGAGAGGGCGAGGCTGTGTCTGTCATCCCGCTGCTTCACCACCATCTCCTGTCCTGCACAATAATTATCACATTTTATCACTTCCTAAAGCTGGTTACATGTGTGTGTGTGGTGTGTGTGTGTGTGTGTGTGTGTGTGTGTGTGTGTGTGTCAACGCGTGTATGTATAGAGTTCATGTGTGTAGCGTATATGTACTCACATGTGTAAGCACGTAACTGAGGCTGTGAACGCGTGTCACTGTTTTTGGTTTGCTTTTTCTGCAAGTGTCACAAAACCTTATTACATTTAATTACCAGAGAAGGGAGACTCATTAGAGCTAAACAACAAGTTTTAAGGTGATGGAAAAAGACAAATATAGCAAGATGAGGCTTTTTATTCTCGCAAAGTTTCGCCAACAAGAAGCTCTATCAAGTGACAAGAGTTTTTATCAAACACTTGTTTTGTAGATGAAACGTTGTAGATGAAACGTTGTAGATGAAACGTTGCAACATTAAGCTTTTTTCTATGTCTTTTTGAATAATTATGTCATTATCAATATGCCACAAAAAAGGCTTCATTGATTAAATCAATACAACATTACCATGAGGATTTCTACAATGAAAGAAATTCACACAAACTCGCGGATATAGAAATTTCCTCGAGACCCCCACCCCGTAACACTCTGCTGCCTTGGAACTCAAGAATGCAAACCACAACATTGGGAATCAGTGTCAGATTCAGTGGTGAAGAGCATAAATAACTACTGAATCTGGATTACAGACTCGACCTCATGAACATGAACAAAATACTGAATCCGTATGTTAAATCTGGTGATCAAGAACTTAAACTGCAAACTGAATCCAGATCGCGTGGACAAAGATACATGTACAGTTGTGACATTTACTAAAGGGAATGTTTCACTACGAGTGATTTCTCCAGTCCAAATACAGGGAGTGCTAAAGGAACAGACATTATTATTATTATCAAATAAAGCGCTAAACCGACAAGGGTCATGTAGAAAGCAACAGATAAGACATAGTAAGACTGGTGTCAGGTAAAAATAGTGTAGTGAAGTGAGCATGTGGCGTGCACTGGTTATTGTCACGTGATGGTAGTGTCAAGTCGGGCAGGAACTTGTTAGCAAAAATATTTGGAGACGCCGAAGCTGCCTAAATTTTGTGGGATGCAATTTGGTGTTGTGAAGAAGTCTAGATGTCAAGTACCTTGACAGTCCGAGCCATCTTCCTTCGCCAGAACAGTCCAACCCCAAGAGACTGAACCTAATCCGTTAACGCAAGAGTGGGTCAGCGAGACACTGGTGCCTTATTTCTAGTACAAAGAGTGACAGTGGAGTCATCTGGAGGTGAGGTCTGTAATTTTAAGGGAAATTTATTAAGAAGTGGGTTACGATAATAATAATAATAATAATAATAATAATAATAATAATAATAATAATAATAATAATAATAATAATAATAATTATTATTATTATTATTATATTATAAATTTAAGCATTAATTTCGAAAGGGTCATACAGCAATGCAATCATCTTGATATTGGCTTACCTGTGAAGTCCGCTGTTTTATGCTAAAAACGACTTTGTATGAAGATGAAAGGGCTAAAAGATCTCTATGTATTTGTATTATGGAAAGGAAATACCAGTTTCTTACGAAAGCAGAGAAAAGCCTACTTATTGAAGTAGGAATTTTTATTAATACTAGATGTTTATATTCTCAATTATTTTAATCAAAAAGCGCTAACTTTAAATTCTCTAGGAAACCGTTTCGTAAATTAAAAAAAAAAAAGAGGTGACACATCTTTAGTGTTTGATAAAAGCTTAGTATGTCATCTTTTTCGTATTGTAGTTAGAATTATTTTTAGATCAGTTTTATATTTTATTTTCCAAGTGAGTTACTGATACTAATTCTTAATGTTTGAAAGCGTTTTTTTTTTTTAATCTATCTTGCATGTCTCCTCATTACCGTTTTAGTGTATATTTTTTATTGTGAGCAGAATTGTAAGGAGCTAAAGATTTTTTTTTTTTCAACAAGTCGGCCGTCTCCCACCGAGGCAGGGTGACCCAAAAAAAAAAAGAAAGAAAATCCCCAAAAAGAAAATACTTTCATCATCATTCAACACTTTCACCTCACTCGCACATTATCACTGTTTTTGCAGAGGTGCTCAGAATACAACAGTTTAGAAGCATACACATATAAAGATACAACATATCCCTCCAAACTGCCAATATCCCAAACCCCTCCTATAAAGTGCAGGCATTGTACTTCCCATTTCCAGGACTCAAGTCCGACTATATGAAAATAACCGGTTTCCCTGAATCCCTTCACTAAATATTACCCTGCTCACACTCCAACAGATCGTCAGGTCCCAAGTACCATTCGTCTCCATTCACTCCTATCTAACACGCTCACGCACGCTTGCTGGAAGTCCAAGCCCCTTGCCCACAAAACCTCCTTTACCCCCTCTCCAACCCTTTCGAGGACGACCCCTACCCCGCCTTCCTTCCCCTATAGATTTATATGCTTTCCATGTCATTCTACTTTGATTCATTCTCTCTAAATGACCAAACCACCTCAACAACCCCTCTTCTGCCCTCTGACTAATACTTTTATTAACTCCACACCTTTTTCTAATTTCCACACTCCGAATTTTCTGCATAATATTTACACCACACATTGCCCTTAAACAGGACATCTCCACTGCCTCCAACCGTCTCCTCGCTGCTAAAGATATCGAGCTAAATATATCGAAATATATTGAGAACAGTATAATGATGCGAAGTAATTTGTTAATGAGGGATAATGTGGGTGGTCCTTGTAGATGGGAGAACGTACATTAATGAGCAAGTAATGGGTAGCCTAGTGAGTGTTGGTGACGCCAAGGCGGAACCTAGGAGGTTTGTGTGTTCTTGTTTTGTTTTAATCTGTGGGAGGGGGAAGAGGCGGCTCATTCTTGAGCCCCTGCTATCAGGAGCAAGTGTGAGTGCTCGAGGAGTATTCCTAGAGCTGAAAGTGACTGTGGATTGTACACGGAAGAGAGAATTATTTGAGTCTCTCTCTCTCTCTCTCTCTCTCTCTCTCTCTCTCTCTCTCTCTCTCCGATTAAAAATTTAGAGGTGATAAGCAACAGAAATGAGAGGGAAGTGCAAGGAACAGAACCTTAAGTTAACCACAATGTGGAACACACGCCACACTAACATATACACACTACACAATGCTAATACACTAGAAATACACATACACACTACAAAAAAACATTGCCAATACACACCACACTAACAAAACATGCCACGCTGCCAATTAATAATACATTAATAATACACACCACACTAACAATACACACACCGCACAAACAATACACATCGCACTAACACACCCCACACTACCAATATACACAGTATCAATACACACTGTACTACAAATATAATACCAATACACACACAAGACTACCAATATACACATTGCACTACCAATACATATACCACACAATACCAATACACATGTCACACTACCTATATCCACCAGTTTAGAGTCCTCGGATCCAGAACCCCTTTACCAGCATCAATGATTAAGTCAAGTTAAGCGCTAAATCCGTAAGGGTCACCGGCATCATGGCACAGCCCTTAAGATTGAGGAAGCAGCTCTAATTCCTCACTGACATCAAGGGCCCTCACTTGAAGGCATTTTTACTGCAGTGTACCATCCCCTGCCGTTTTCTGTGTTGTATGATCCAGACCATAACCTCTCCTCACAAGGCATACCCCTAAGTTTCGGGACTAGTCTCATTAGTAAGTTTATTTAGGTACAAGTATACATAAGTACAATTATCATACACAGTAACATGTGTAAATTACCTAAGATAACCCAAAATTTGATTTGGATCCTTGTAACATCTTATTATATTATTATTATTATTTTATTTTATTATATTTTTATTATTATTTTATTATTATTATTTTATTTTATTATATTATTATTATTATTATTATTATTATTATTATTATTATTATTATTATTTAAAGCCTAAACCCTTTGCACTTTCTCCAATTTCTTGACCAAGTGTGGGTACCATACCTGTGCTGTATATTCCAATACAGGCCTGAGGTACACGTGCAGTGTCATGAATGTCTCTACTAACATACATGTGTGTGTGTGTGTGTGTGTGTGTGTGTGTGTGTGTGTGTGTGTGTGTGTGTGTGTGTGTGTGTGTGTGTGTGTGTGTGTGTGTGTGTGACTCAACAATCAATATTTGCACCAATAACTCACTACAGTTGTGACCGGGTGTGGAAGTGTGAATTGCTCATTACACTATAATTTGTTCATGATTGTAGCCATGTATAAACGTAAGTAACCATTCTTACAGTATTCATTACCTTTGTAACTTGTGAGTTCATTACCTTGTACCTAGTTCAGCCATCAAAACTTTGGGGCCCAGTCCCTGGACCCATTACGTACCTCTGTAATCTGTAAATACCTTTGTAACTTGTCATGATTGTGACTAGACCTACCTGGAGTTCATTACCTTTGTAATTCGTGAGTTCATAGACCTACCTGGAGTTCATTACCTTTGTAATTCGTGAGTTCATTACCTTTGTAAATTGTGAATTCATTACCTCTGTAACTTGCTCAGCTATCAAAACTTTGGAGTCCAGTCCCTGGACCAATTATGTACCTCTGTAATCTTTTGACTACCGCCCACAGGATGGGTATGGGGTGCATAATAAACATATTAAACTAACTAAACTAACATACATACTATAAAATGGCTATAATATTAACCTTAGTTTTTGAAGGAGGGGACCGGTAAGCCTGCACAAGTCCTCGGTCAGATGACCAAAAGCTCCAGCTGTGGGTCATCATACGACTAAGACCCGAATCAGGAAACACTTGTCCTTTTTTCCTGATAAACGTTATACCTGCCTACCTTAATAACTACTTTCAGGCAATACTATGTGCGAAGGGGAAATAATGAGGCATGGATGACATATGGGCTTCAACAGTATTTAGAGGGGCGGTTGCAGGGTTGTTATCAGAGGGGTGCTGTGAGAGGTGTGTAT